TGGGTGGAAGAGCCCATTTACTTCATTGTGGATGATGCACGTGGGATACAGTATCCTCGTGACGGCCCATCCAGCACACCCTACGTGTGATAGCATACTACCTGGCGATGAAGTTCCTGGCGAGTTACGGAGTAGGGGTAGTACGAGGTGATCAGCTTGAGTCTCACAAGTGCTATGTGGTTGCGCTGAAGGGCAAGGCAAAGTTGGCCGATGACATCGAACTGAAACAACCGACAGACTACACCTAGGAGCGAGCTGCCCCGATGGAGGAGATAGTCTATGTATCGGTTTGCAAAACCAAGCCAATGAAGACCCTCCAGACCAGTGCTCTGATAAGCGAACCACTCTGAACACAGCTAGTAAGTTTCTTAATAATTTAGATGTTTTTGCTTGGTTCGTGATAGAAATGTCCGGCATTGACCCTATTGTGATTACTCACAAATTAAATGTGGACCCTTTAGTCAGGCCAGTGAGACAAAGAAAACGCAACCTCACCCCGGAGCGGTGGAGGGTAGTCGATGAGGAGGTCGGGAAGCTCCTTGCTGTAGACTTTGTTAGGGAGGTCCATTACTCGAGCTGGGTGGCCAACCCTATGCTGGTGAGGAAGGCCAATGAGAAGTGGTGCTTGTGCGTCGACTAAACCAACTTGAATAGAGACTGCCCGAAGGACTGCTTCCCGCTTCCTAAAATAGACCGCCTAGTAGACGTGACCTCGGGGCACGAGTTGCTGAGCTTCATGGACGCCTACTCTCTCTATAACCAGATTAGGATGGACATAGCCAACCAAGACAAAACCGCCTTTGTAGCCGAGCTAGGACTGTATTTTACAAAGTAATGCCTTTCAGGTTAAAAAACGTTGGGGCAACTTTCCAGTGTCTTGTAAACATGATTTTTGAACCATTGATTGACAGTAAGATGGAATGCTATGTTGATGACATGGTCGTGAAGACCCAGTTTTCAAATTCTTTAGTTGATGATTTAAATTTTGTTTTTCAAATTCTGAGAAAATTTAACATGAAGCTCAACCTGAACAAGTGTCTTCAGGGTCACGTCGGGCAAATTCCTTTGTTACATAGTGAACCGATGTGGCATCAAATTCAACCCTGACAAAATTAAGGCTATTAGATATGAGACCGTCCCAAAAGATAACGAAGTCCAAAGGCTAACTTGCCGGGTAGCTGCCCTAAACCGGTTTATGTCTAAATCGGCGGGTCGGTACCTACCCTTCTATAAAGAAATAAAGAAGAACGTAGACTTTACATGGACCGAAGAATACTAGCTCGCGTTTGACAAGCTGAAAAAGTATTTAAGTACCACCCTAGTTTTGACTTGACTTGAGGAAGGTGACGAGCTGAAATTGTACCTCTCCGCGAGCAACGAGGTGATAAGCTCGGTACTAATTAGAGAAGTAGACCATGTCCAACGACCTGTCTACTACGTAAGTAAAGTCTTGTAGGATGCAGAGACCAGATACATTGACATCGAGAAGCTAGCGTATGCTCTAGTAGTAGCAGTCTGGAAACTATGTCCGTACTTCCAAGCCCACACCATCATCGTCCTTACCAACAAACCTCTGAGGCATGTTTTGCTCAAGCCTGAGGTGTGTGGTAGGTTGATGAAGTGGTCTATCGAGCTAAGCGAATACAATATCCGGTTCGAGCCGCGCCCAACAATCAAAGCCCAAGTCTTGGCAGACTTCGTAGCATAATGTACGTTCAGTGCGTCGGCTCCTGAACTAATTAAGCCCGCTAGCATGTTAAAGGCGTCAACCAGCGCGCTACTAGTCCCAGTCGGGGTAGGACCAACCTAGGACGAGGAGCCCTGGATCCTCCACGTAAATGGCTCATCTAACCAGCAAGGAAGCTGTACCGGATTGATACTGTACGGCCTGAGTGAGGTGAAACTAGAATATGCTCTCTAGTTCGGATTTGAGGCATCGAACAACGAGGCGAAGTACGGGGCACTGATTGCTAGGCTAAGCCTAGCGAAGGAAATGGGAGTGGAACATCTTGTCGTATGCAACGACTCTCAACTAGTAGTAAACCAGGTCAATGGTGACTATGAAGCTCGAGATCCAACCATGGCAGCTTACCTAAGTAAGGTAATGGAACTCCTGCAATGCTTTCATTCTTGGTTCATCAGGTAGATATCAAGGTTCGAGAATGCTGAGGCCAGTGTCTTGTCGCGGTTGGCAAGCACCAGCGACAACACGATGCGGACAATATACATAGAAAACCTACCTCAACCCAGAATTCTCGGGGGGCAGAAGAGGTCGCTCCTGTGTTGCAAGCAAAACTGAACTGGATTGATTTGCTCGTTGATTATCTACTCCACGAGACCCTACCAGTAGAATGCAATGCAGCTCGAAGGTAGAGCGTCAGTCATCTTGGTATGTCTTTACCAATTGGCGGCTGTACAGGAGGCCCTTTACGCTCCCCTGCCTACGCTGCTTGCAGCCTTCAGAAACAGAATTAGTACTTCGCGACATCCATGAAGGGTTTTGCGGAGAACACTTGGGGGGCAGGGCACTTGCCCAAAAGACACTAAGATAAGGCTATTACTAGTCTACCATGAAAGCATACGCACTCGAGCTCGTCAAGAAATGCGACAACTTTTAGAGACACGCCAACATCCTTCATCAACCTGCCACCGATATGAAGTACCTGACCAATCTATGGCCCTTTGCGTAGTGGGGGATCGACATCCTCGGACCATTCCCATCGGCAACCGGGTAGAGGAGATTCTTGGTCGTGGCGGTGGATTACTTCAAAAAGTGGGTGGTGGCTGAGCCGTTGGTGACTATTACAACTCGGAACGTGCATAACTTCTTTTGGAAAAACTTATTTACCTAATCAACCTTTCATTAAGGGGTGTTTGTTTTGCCATTAGACCTATGGTTTTTTATTCCAAAAATACTCGTAACACTTTTTTTATACAGAAAACAAAATTGGCCAAACATAGCCAATAGAATGGTTGCCCGTATCTTATTAAGGGAAAGAATGGTATTTTTATTTCTATTTTCTTTTGATTAAATTTATTTAAATGAATATTAGGGTCAACACTGTCATTTTCTACTATCATCTAATGGAAGATTGATTAAATCCGTTGCAAATTATAAATGGTGTTTTATATGATAGATTTTTATAAATTTATAAAACTATAAGGGGTATTTTAGTAAATAACTTTTTATATTATTTAACTTTCACTTAATAAATCCCCTGCTACTTGGGAAATTAAAATTTGAGTGAGGTTTGGAATTGAGCGTTGCTTTTTAAAAGTATGCTTTGTAGTTAGAGATACAAGAGACACGAAGAAGAGAAGAGAGTGAGTGAGTTAGTAGTTAAAGATCTCGGGTTGCCACTGTTACAAATCAAATATATATACAAAAATTACAGAGACTAACAGAAGAAAGGGAGAGATTTTAAATCCTTCATTTAATTTTGTCGGAGCGGTCTTGGCCTATAAAAGCAACTCTGGGTTTTCCATTTCTCTTTATACTGATCAAAACGATGCCCTTTTCGCTAGATCTTGATTCTCCCAAAAAACGAACCCCGAATCGAATCAGAAGGAAACTGGGTTTCGTCTTTGTTACCAACACTTGGCTTCCTCTTCCTCTCTCTCTCACTCTCTCTCTCTCCACTGTGTCGGTAGCTTCTTGTAGGGAGGCGACTAGAAATTTAAAGTGAGAGTATAATATGTACATAGGCAGTCGAGCAGGAAAAAAGGAGTCTTTTTCCTCTTCTCCCTGTCTTTCTGCAAACCTTGACGAAACGGCCTGTTCTCCCTGTCTTTCTACAAACCTTGACGAAACGGTCTGTTTTATATTTCTGATTCGACATTTCACCCTTTCTTCTTGGTTTTTGGCACTACTGTCCTCTGCAAATAAAGTTGCATTTTCCGGCTGAATTATTCTAGACTGGTAGTGGTTGACAGGAGTGAGAGATTAGAGCTGGCAATTTGTTTTTGTAATAATTAGCGTGCATTAAAGCTTATCTGCAATTGTAATAACACTAGGGAACTACTAAAAAATAATTTAGTTAACTGTGGGTTACGTTTATTGGATATTTGTTGGGAGGTTGGACAGATAGGGACAAGTGGCCTGATTTGAGTGGATTAGTAGAGAGAAGAGGAGGAAGAAGAGTTTAGCAGGAAATCTGAATTGGGAAAATAGAGTCACTCAATTCTCATTCTATTGGTAATGTGACCCATTTTACACCAAATCACCATGACCAACCCATATTTTGCGCAAATCCTTTTTTTTATATAACCAAAAGGGGCTACACAAGACGGGGTAGCAGATAAAAAGAGGGGAAGGAAGAGAAACTAAACTAAGATTAACGAACTCTATAGGAGAAGATAGAGCTTTGTGCGCCAGCCAATCAGCCTCCTGGTTTGCCTCCCGATGGAACTGTTTATACGCTAGGTTTCTTCAACACTCGTCCTTTAGCTTGATGCAGTTCTTGATGATGTGTCTTATCTTCCAAGGAATTAGGATCTTCTGCTTGAGACAGGAAATGACAAGGTTGGAATGGAATCACCTTCGATAATGATAGGATAATCTTTAAAATTCAAGGTTAATTGAAGCAATGCCAAGCTTATAAGCCTTGATGTCTAAGACTTTCCCGAAATGATCTCTAACAATGCTCGCAACCGAGCAAAAACCCTCCCTATTCCTAGATGGATCAAAGTTGATATTGATATGATCAATATTGGGAGATTTCCCAATAATTGTGTTCCAAGATTTATCCACTTTGACAATATTGGTCTCAAAATGCCTTTCATTGAATTCCCTAAACAGACCATGGGTCTTGTAAAAATGACCGCCGCTATAGAGACAGCTGAGCTGGCACTTTTACAAAGACCGCCGCCCAGAACACTAAAGTAAAGAAAATGAAAATTTAACCGGCGGTCTTTGAGACCAGACACGACACTTACATTTAAACCGGGCTTAATCCGGTCTAAATAATTGGCCTCTTGCGTTTGCGAGGGAGAACAAAAAAATCAAAACTCTCGCACTCCCTCCTTCTACTTCGCGCGTTCGGCGAGTTTTTCTAGCAAACCTTGTTTAGAAATCGATTGAGGAAAACTTTTGACGAAGAAGGAAAAGTTAACTTAGGTAAGGGCGCTTCTTCTTCGGCTTCTTCGTGGTTGATTCAATTGTGCCATTCATGCAATTGAAAATAGTTTTCTTCATGGTTTGATCGAAGGTGCCATTCAGGCAAGCTCTAAACCATTTGCTGCCTCTGAAGGGTTTTAGGAAGGTCTATTAATGAACAGATTACTGTCGGTGTCGATAAGCTTCTTTTCCGCCTTGCTGAGCTTGTACTATTTCCGTCTCTTCAGGTATTTGCCTTTAGATTCTATGGAGTATATGTTTTAATTTGTTATTAAACATGAACCAATTCGGTTCCTCAAAATGTATTCGGAAATTAGGGGCTTAGCTCTATTTTGACAGGGATTACTTAGATGACGATTCTATGAAGATATTAGTTATATATAAAACATGATTCAGTTTGGTCACTTGAGATATATTTCGACATTGGGGGTTTCATTCTTTTATAAAAATTAATTATAAGAAGGACTAATCGGATGATGATTCCATTTTTTGTTGTTCATTGGCATGCTCCGAATTCAAATGTTCATCAAAATGCATTGCATTTGCTCCTTGACATGTTTCCCTTGAAGATCCATATGCTACAAAAGATGTTAAAGATACTTTACTTGATAAACAATTCTTCTTATTGGAACGGTTACTCATAGATGACTGCCCTACTATGAGAGTTGTTGTTGTAGTAGCTTCCTGCCGTATTCTTCATTTGTTTTGGGAAGTTATTCCTTCTTCAACTATAATAAAGAATATCATTAAAGTTGTAGATGATATGCCACATATGCAGCGAGGTTAGAATCTCCACATTGACTAAGATAATATATTTTATTGGAAATCCCCATACTTATGAAATTCTATTAGTGCTTCTACCTAGATTGGGACATCTATTCCATGACTCTGTTCTTTCTGTACGAGTATCTTTTACTGATCTCCTCTTTGCTATAAAAAGTATTCGGGCTTTCCCATTTAATTAGGTACATGATGATCTCCCAAATCTGGACTTTGTACTGGGTAGTGCTTATGTGTAAAAATTCTCCCCTTGAATTTCTGGTGTTTCTATATATAATGTTACAAATTGTTGCAGTTTTATATATAAATTTATCATGATGTTTTCATTCCTGAGGTAGTTGATTAATTTTCTTGTAACTAGGTTGTGGACCAAGAAATAATACTCTCTGCATCTGGGCATGCTCGAATATCTATGTTTAGCATTGTCGTCGTTTTATCTCCAAATGATGTAGCTACCCTTTCTGAAGAATGCACGGGCCTTATCATGAAGACATGAATTGCAGTGGTTTATCTCAAAATGTGGAAAGGCAGGCAGAGATAAGGTTTGTCCATAAGTTGCTGTTATCCTTTAGTAGATTTGATGACATGTTTTCAGCCTTAACCAATCTTTTGCAAAACATTGCCTCTGGATTTCATGTTAGATTTGGAAAAGAAGTCCCTGCTAAGATTTTACCATCTATCAGGCAGACAAAAACTAAGTTATTTGTGAAAACCTCAGCGAAAAATGCCAACAGAAAAAAAAAAAATTCTAGTTCAGCTACTTCCAGAAAGATTGCCTTATTGTTGCAGGAGTAGCATATCAGATAAAAGACTTGCTCATGTCTGTAGATACACGAAATGCATGCTAAAGTCCAAGACACTGGAACTGGCATTTTCAGCTTTGAAGATCATCTCTGAGGTTATTATTGAACAATGCGTGTGTTATGATTTCTTGGAAACATCACTAGCTCTTGCATACATAGCTCTTTCCTTGCACATGACCTTTCAAAAAATTGGTTTAACTAATAAAACCATTCCTAATGAAAACAAGAACAACAAATTGGATACTACACCATTGGAGGTATGACTCTTCTTAACTTCATTTTCTAGCAATTTTTAGTAAGTGCCAGTTGCCTACTTAAAGTTTTTTTTTTAATTAATATCAAATAAACAACATCTGAATGTTCAAAACAAATAGTGTCTCTTTTGGCAGAGTTGGCAGTTCTTTCTTGCTTTCCTTCTTTTAGTTTTGACTTTAGTCTGTGTATTATCAAGCACAGTTTGATACTGACTAAAGTATTGTCTTACATTTAATTCCAGAATTCTTTCTAGTTTGCATTGTAAAAATATTATTAGGAAAGGTGTGGTAAATTTTAAAAAATAACTTAAATCATTTTTTCATTAATTTCATTGCATATGGGAAGAGGAGAATCTTTCTTCTTCAATGAATGCTTGACCTGTTTTAGCCTTTTAGGCACATGACCTCCAAATTGGAGGATTTTTTGATATGCTTCTCTTATTTTTTTGCTTGTTTTTTAACAAGCAAAGTGAATTGTTCATGAACGCCTTATAGCACCAATTTATCATTTAAGTTTCCTTCTCTTTTCATATGTCATTATGACACATTGTGAATTACATGGTATTCTTATGTTGTGAGATTCTTAAGCTTTAGCCAATTAGCCTTGTCCATCTTTAGTGTATAGTTAAAGATGCATTGAACTGTGAACTTATGAACTTATGAACATCTTACTTGGAAATTGGAATAGTTCATAATGTATAGTTAAAGATGGACAAGGCTAATGCATTTAACTATACATTCAGGGAAAGGTCTTAATGCATTGAACTATGGACCTATAAACATCTTACATGGAAATTGGAATATAATCTTTGATATGCTGTTTTTCTCATTTTCCAGGTTGAACTTGGAAGTAATTTCATATTAATTGTTTCAATTTTCCAAGAAATGAACAGCTACGGCAAGAGATAAATTTGTCACTTCAGCTCTTCTTTTTGAGCTTCTTGACCAGGGTTAGGAAGACTTTGGGAGAACAAATGACTCACATGGATAGGTTGCATCTACAGAAAGATGGAAAGAAATGACTTTACTTGGGATAATTATAATTTTCATTAAGGGCATATAGTTAACTAGTCTAGACACACAAAGTGAAATCCCTGTTAAGGATATTCTAGATTGGTTATTAGTGGAAGCATGTTTTCTGTTGTTTGTTTCTTGTATGTTGATCACAAGTGTGTAAGCTATTAGGCAATCAGTTTTATGCATTTTTTCATTTAATTCCACTTTTTTTATTGGTATTTAATCACAAGTGTACCAGACCAAGAGGGACTGGTCCAGAAAGTCACTGGCTAGGTCTCATGGTTTCAGAAGGCGAAGGAGAACCACTAGTGGGAGAGCTGTGTTGAAGCATAGGCGTGCCAAGGGACGGAAGGTTCTCTGCCCAAAGTCTAACCCAAATAGTGGGAAGCGGGCTTGATCCATCATGATTAAAAATGAATCACTTTCAGCAGGTATATAGGATATATCTGCACCAGTCATTGGTGAAAATTTGGTTCAGTTTTAAACTGTTATCTGACGAATGTAATTGTTATTCCATCAAGGGAGGTTTTTTTTGTCTCTAATCAATTTTACTTTTTCTCACATCCCCATTCATTGTGTGTGTGTGTGTGTGTTTGTATGTTTTCCTTCTTACTAGTATTTACTGTTTTCAGCATCTTTTGTAATTTTCAAACCAAAACAAGCAAATCAAATCAATCTTTTCTCTTGAGAATAAAGTTGAAGTTTAGACATTATACGATTCTTAAAAATGATATGACGCATCTTAAATAATTACACACCTCTAGATACTGTTAACAGCTGTATGTTTTTATAATTTGTGTCCATGGATGTCTTGTTCTATCATGTACATGTATAACAGAAGCAGTTTTAGTAACCGCTACAATCAGTCTTTCATATACAGAACTTCATTTGGCTTAGCATTTGTGGGTTGTTCTAAATTGTTGGTTCCATAATGAAACTAATTATCTGTCTAAGAGTGTAACCATATCTGGGCTTAATACTTATCACCCTTTAAAGCTGGTAAATCTATGGATGTATTAGAGGCTTCCTGTGCAAACAAACAACCTTATGAAATGAGATAGGGTAAGCATGTCTTCTAACTGGAAGAGACATAATGAAAGTGATAAATCCTTTACATGCTATTCTCTTGTGATTTATAACTTGGTGCCCTGTTCATTTCGAAAACTTCAATTTTCAGACTTAACTGTGTCCAATGCTTCATCTTTTACATGGAACTTGACATTAGAGCTGCAGCCTGTTTGGATTTTAGTCTTAAACCAGAAGGAACTGGCAAGACCAAATAGAGTAGGAAGTAAAAAGAGACCCACCTTTTTTTTTGGCTTCATTAAAAAGAGACCCAGTTATCTCATAGGTTAGAGGGTCATTTGATGAAAGCCTAACCTAGAGATGGTTCATAACCTTTTTCCTGGTTGACAATCTCCATAACAGGCTTTAGTCCTAACTCCTAATTAAACTGTCAAACTAAAGATGAAAAAGAAAATGATGCTCATGGAGTGAGTTGAAACTGTAAAGGTACATTACAAATAAGGAGATTTGTAATAGAATAAGGAGATGTGTTAGGCAGAATTTGAAAATAATCAAATGATCACCACCATGAATCTTTGGTTAAAACCATTCCTCAAGAGTGGGGAATGCTCAAACAAGGCCTAGTCCTTTTTTTATAAAATTGTAGGAAGTGTTCATGATGTGTTTTAGATTTACCCTTTATGATGATTAATTCAATCTAAAAGCATGTAGGGAAATGTTTAAGCTGCTATAAATGATTAATTCATTCTTGTAGTGATTTGATTAAGAATTATATTTGATATCTCATTTACTTTAAATCATCTAACAATTTATATGTTATGATTTGCAGGTTAAACGATTTTGTAAAGTGGATTTGCATTGGAAGAAGTGTTACATTATTCAAGAAGACTTTTTTAAATGCCTTGTACTTTTGTATATGTCAATTGGATATTGTATTTAAGCAATTTGTTTTGGATATTATAATAATGAATATTTAATTAAAAGTTTTTATTTTTATTTGCATTTTTTATTTAAATTGATTTTTATGTATTATCTGCCATGATATTTGTATTAAATAGGTATAAAAAAATGCTGAAATCAAATTCATATAAATAATTAAAAATAAAAAAAAAGGCTGTGGTCATACATCCACTGCCTTAGACATAAAAGAGATCTAAGCCGGCGGTCCAGACAGCCACCTAAAAATGGAAGAAACATGTTAACTGACCTAAGGCAGCGGTCTAAAGAGATCTAAGCCGGCAGTCTAGACTGCCACCTAAAAATGGAAGGAACATGTTAACCGACCTAAGGCGGCGGTCTAAAGAGATCTAAGCTGGGTTCAGACCATTGCCTTTATTAAATCTAAGCCGGTGGTTCTGATAGACCGTCGCTGTAGGGATGATTGAACCGTGTCGGACTGGCCTTCAAGGGCGGTGGTCTTTTATGTCTAACCGGCAGAGGTTTAGGGGGTGGACTGAAGACCACCGCCTTAGATCAAAGCCGGCGGTCTTAAGGCCTAAGCTGGCGGCCGGCTTAGACTGATTTTCTTGTAGTGAATTGAGGTAGGGCAGCCACTTTCTTGAACACCTTTTGATTTCTATTTGTTCATATTTCCCATAGAATACAAATGATTTTTTCCTTCTCTTGTCCAACTGTTCTTTCCGTTTTCTTATTCTAATCCACCAATCCGTCGTATTTAAATCGCACACCTCTGAATTCCCGGGGAACGGCTTAATCACTCGCCATATTTACTTAGTAAATGAACACTCCCTAAAAACATGAGGTGTACCCTCTTCCTCTCCACAAAATTCGAACTCCCCATCAATGTTTGCTCCCCTTTTCCTAAGAAGTCTTCTAGTGGGAAGTCTATTGTTTATAAGAAGGTATAAAAAAGTTTTCAGTTTCGGGGAGCACTTTATATTCCAAATGTTTGACAGACATTTGGTTGAAAATTCTTCTTTGTTCAACAAACAACACTTCAACATATAGGCTGACTTTATGGTGAAATTGCCTTTAGGATTACTACCCCATATAACAGTATCCTCCACCATAGACACAAATATTGGTTTTATTTGCTACCAAATTTGATTCGGTACCATTGAGAGAATCTTTTGTTCATTCTAACACCATCTCTCTTGATCTATCACGTCTGAAACCAGATAATTGATCTCCTCAATATTATTTCTATTAACCATTTCTAAAGTGGCTTTTGTAACACCCACAGCCTTTGATTTGTTGCCATGACCCCCACTTTTTTTCTTACTATGACCCCACTTTGTTGAAATAACTTATTGTGTAACTAACATGAGATAGAGTATCCATCTATCTATCTATCTATCTATCTATCTATCTATCTATCTATATATAAACTCTCTTTCCTAATTTCCTGTTTTTTTTTGAATTTTTATTTTTTTAATTCCACATAATATCCCATTAAACCAATAAGGAAATAACATAAGATTAACTATTTCTAACAACTATAAAGAAAAAGGGATATGCTTTTCTAATGTTTAGTCAAGTGGTAGCACTTTCCCCCACTTTTTCCTAAATTGTCTCTAATACTGATTTATCTCCAAAATTATCTCTAATTTAGTAGAGAGATTCTCTCCTAAACTATCTCTAATTCCTATTTATCCTCTCCCCCACTTTTCACCTATATCTATCTAAAGTTCAATTAAAATTTTAGAATTATTTAAATATTATAACAAAATTATATACTAAGCTTAAAATATTTATTCAAAACACAAAATTAATTATAATAGATTTAATATATTAATATTATTAATAATTATATATTTTTACAAAATTCATCAAGAAATTATGTAGTAACAATATAAATTATAATTCTTCAAATTATTCAATTTAAATGTTATTCAAATAATAAAAATTTAACATTAAAAAATGACATTATTTAAATATATATTATATAATAACTTTGATATTATGTAATAACAAAATCTTTAATATCGTGTAAAAACTTTGAAATAAATAAAATTAAAAAAATGAAAAATTTAAATATTTTACATATTATTTAAATATTTAAATAACAAAATATTTAACATGAATAAATTTTAAATAGTTAAAATAATGAAATTATGTAATAAATTTAAAAAAATCTTAAAATTAGAAAAATAATTATAATAGATTTCATAATATTCATATTAATAATAATTTGAAAAAATTAATAACAAATTATGTAATAATAGTACTAATTATAATTTTCGTTGCGGGACTTAACCCAACACCTTACGGCACGAGCTGACGACAGCCATGCACCACCTGTGTCCGCGTTCCCGAAGGCACCCCTCTCTTTCAAGAGGATTCGCGGCATGTCAAGCCCTGGTAAGGTTCTTCGCTTTGYRTCGAATTAAACCACATGCTCCACCGCTTGTGCGGGCCCCTATCAATTCCTTTGAGTTTGGATTATTAAATTCAATAAATAATTAATATTTTAAAAATTTAAATAACAAAATTATTTACATAACTAAATAATATTGTAATAACTTTCAAAAAATTAATATTTGTTAGTAATAATTTTACAAAAATAGTGTATATTCATTCTATATTTATATATACTAAAATTAATATTTATTGTATTTTTAGTAATTATTTATAAATCTATTTTTGTTTTGTTATTTAATAGAAAATTGTCAATAATTACTAGAGATTAAAGAACTATTATTTAACTTTTGAAATTTAATTTATTGTATTTTTGTTATAATTTTATTTTTAATAATTATGTGCTCTTTATAATTTATTGATGAACACTTATTAGAGACTAAATTATTATTTGAGATTATACTATTTATTAACTAATTTAATATACTTTCAGTATTTATTGTATTTTTATTAGATATCTATTATATTTTCATTATAAATTTATTTTCAATAATTACGTATTTTTGTTATAAATTTTCAATAGTTATTGGAGATTAAACTATTGTTATTTATTAGAGATCAGACTATTAATTTAGCTGAAACTAGGAGTACTCAATGATTGGTTCAGTTCGGTTGCAGGCTTTGTTTTGCCAACCAAATCGACTTGGTTAGGTCAGGAGTTTGTCACCCGAAATCGACTGACCATTTGTGAAAACCAGCCAACTTGAATTGTATCGAATTGGGTCTATTTTCGGTATTGTTTGTTTGTTCAAAAGATTTAAACTTAAAAATTAAATTTAAGTTTAATAAATTAAAAATAAATAAATTCATGATATAAAATATTTTAGACTAATAAATATGGGATTTTTCCACTTTCCTGTATTAAAAATTATGTTTAAAATATAAAATATTAATATATATATGTATATCTATGGTCAGGTCGGTTCAGTTTTGGTTGATTTACAAATGGCCAAACCAAAACTAACCTAACTTGGTCGGGTTGGAAAATTGCTAAATCAAAGCTGGTTGAAAATAATAGAAAATCAACCAACTTGGGTTGAGTTCAGTTGAATTGATTATTAAAAATTTAAAATATAAAACAATTATATACTCCTTATCAATTTCTATTATTTAGCTTGTGCTTAACAATTCTTCTTTCTTGCATTTCTCTTATTTTTGTTTTTTTTTTAATTCCACGTCATATTCTACATCTAACCAATCAAATGCAAGAGACATTTTGTTTTTCCCATATCTCTTGCCAAAGGAGAGAGAGAGAATCATGCCTTCACCTACATTCCCAAAGGTGGTGATCTCACCACAGAACTAGGTAACCATGGAGGAAGGTTTCGCAAAGGCCACAGATCGTCATCTTGGGGGGCCATGGATGAGCTATTTTTTTGCAGAGGTAATCGACCATATTTTTTTGCAGGTATAAATTTTCTTTTTCTTTATTTCTTTGATACAACAGAGGTAATCGACCACATTTTTTTTTTCTTTTTGTGGGTATGCATTTTCTTTTTCTTTATTTCTTTGACACATAGGCTCTCTATTACCACGTTCTCTCACTCTTTCTCTTTATGCTGGTTCTCTAACATTCTCTAGCATCCAATGGTGGGGCTCGACCCTAACTTCCTATCTCCTTGGTCACCAAGCACATGGGTTCTACATAGAGCGACAACCTTCTTACTCGAAGACTACTCACAGTAGTTTCAAGTGTTGTCCATATTGTTGCAGGTGAGGAAGACAACAACAAGATGCAACTACTCACAGTAGTTTCAACGTTCACTAATATTGTTGAAGAAGACAGAGCGTAAGGTGATCAACGTAATCCAAGAGTTGGGGAAAAGCACCCTCTTTATGTTGTTTGCCTCCACTTCTCTGTTTCAACTTCTGAATATACATTCTGTGATCCAGTCTTGCATCTCCAAGGATTCGGATTATCTTCTCTCACTCATCCCAATCATCTTCGATTATCGATGTTTCCATTACAGCTTCACATGCTGCATAACTTGACACACAAACCAAAGAAGAGCAATATTCTAAGAGGGATAAAAAGTTGCAACGACAACAAGAAGAAAAGTAATAGCCCATCTAAGAATTCTTAGAGGACCCATTGCCATGTCAGAAGATCTTGAGCTTAGTTTGAGTTGGATTCATTCCTTGAAAATGCTTTCGGGCAGGCATTTGAAGATTTGTGTTGACTTTACTGAAATCCACTATGGATTTTCAAACCGTCAGACTGTGACCTTAGTGACTTAACTTAGATTTGCATCATTTCACATGTCACTTAACGGTGGTTAACAATTTTTAAATAAACTGACAGTTTTTGGTAGTTTATGTAATGCATTGGCATGTTTTGAAATTTGGGTACTGAAGTTAGACTACCCCCAAAGTATAGGGTACTAATATGCAATTTGCCTTATTTAAAATTGAATATAGGGATGGACAAAATTGTTATTATAGAAATTTAAAATCTAATATAGTGATAGATAAAACCGTTACTGCCGATGTTCAAAATTTAATGTAGCAACAAACAAAATTGACACTATAGATAGTCAAAACTAAATATAGTGATGGATAAAATAGTAACTATATATACTCACAAGCTAATATAGTGACAGAGAGAATCATCAATAT